AGTTGCTGGAGCAGGGAGCCCTGTTAGGAAATGTTGTAGGCAACTGGGTGAGAAATAAGGAGGGACTGGCCCAAGGCCCCAGAGTCCTGTCTGGCACCATGCCTGGCACTGTGCATTGACGTTTAGTGTTTCTGATCATCATGCTGGATCCCGTTTGTCTGTACTTACAGCCACTTTTTTTTTTAATCTTGTGTTACAGTTTGATCCAGATGGTTATTTCTGGGCTGTAATTCACTTATTCTGCGTAGGTAAGGGTTTTTAAATAAATTTATTTATTTATTTAGTCATTTTTGGCTGTGTTGGGTCTTTGCTGCTGTGTGGGCTTTCCTCTAGTTCCGGCGAGTGGGGGCTACTCTTCGTGCGGTGCGTGGGCTTCTCACTGCAGTGGCTTCTCTTATTGTGGAGCATGGGCTCTAGGTGTGTGGGCTTCAGTAGTTGTGGCTCGCGGGCTCTAGAGCGCAGGCTCAGTAGTTGTGGCGCACGGGCTTAGTTGCTCCGTGACATGTGGGATCGTCCCGGACCAGGGCTTGAACCCGTGTCCCCTGCATCGACAGGTGGATTCTCAACCACTGTGCCACCAGGGAAGCCCCGTCGGTAAGTTTTTAAAGAAGTCTTACTGAAACAATTGAGACTTATTATTCCTTATCATGTATCCACTTTTTAGTGATCCTGGGCAATAGGAAGATGAAGTCCAAGGTGTCAAGGTTAAAATTAAATGGGCATTTTTCTGGTTTGATTTTTCTGTTTTGGAGTTTTCCTGAAATGTTTGTAGTTTCCGTAGAGTCTCGCCTTTCTCATGACAAACATTAATTAACTCGCCAGGGCCCAGGCTTTGCTTGCTCAAATGCACTTGTGCAGTGCTGGTTGGTCTTCTCTAAAAGTGGTGAGAAGAGATCCAGATCCAGAGGTTTGTGTCAAAAACACTCTCTTTCAGCAGCATACAAAAAAAGAAAAAAATCAAGTGGGTGAAATAAAAGGACCATCTACTTTATTTCAAACCAGTGTTTCCTATCTGTAGTCTTAGAGAGAAAAACAGTGCCCTGACTTTGTGACACATGGGTCAGAAGTCCAGCAGTATTTCTCACGTGCACCATCAAAGGAAATCCAGGCTTAACAATCCTGTTAATTGTGTCCTTCTGGGGACCACGAGCCTTTCCAGCCCAGCACTCTATGAACTGCATCATCTGGGGGATTATCGAATGTGCATCCTTGAAATTCTCCAAAGTGCTCTTGGTCGCCCCCTATTGGCTGCGGGTGACCCTTGCAGGGAAGAGGGGCCCTTCTCCCTGTGGGTTTCATGCTTCCCAGGAAGCACCAGCCGCCCCCTCCACAGAATGCCGTGTGCCAGTGACTTGTGTTGCTTCCTTTCCAGGGGCTTATAAGATACTACAGAAATCCCAGAAACCCAACGCGTTAAGGTAAACTTTTAAAGTTTGGTGAGTTGTCCTTTGGTTAAAGGAAAGGGGTGAGACCCACGGGGTGGTGAGCTTCCTCCATCAGCCAGAGACTCCATGAGTCCAGGATGGGGGGAGGGCAGCAGGCCGGGTCCATCAGTACCTGAACCATTGCCAGCGATGTGCAAAGAGCCTGGAAGTCTCTCTCCTCTTCCTTCAGGGCGGCCCTTTAGATGACATTTTGACAAAAATTGCGTGACTGGCTGCCTTGGGCCCCAGTTCACTTCCTTCAGCTCAGAGGCACAAGTCTTTTTTCTTGTTTCTCCAACCCCTTCCTAACTTTAGACCCAGAAGCCTCCCCCGTCACCAGCTCTGTTCTGGGGTAAAATGAGGCCTTTGTTGAGGGCAGTCAGTGGAACAGAGTTGCTGAATGTAAATGAAAAAGATGAGAATTCAGGCCTTGGTTGGGTTGGAGCCATCAGGTCAGAGCCCTCCACTGGCCAGCTGGCCACTGGATTTCGGGGCCGTCTGAGGCCCACAAAGAAAGGTCTGCAGGGACTGACTCCTGGGAGAAGGTTATACATGCTGAGGGTATGTGATGGGTCCTTAGAGCACCATTTTTTCTTTGAATAAAGTGTTTTTTCAGCAAGAAGCCAGTAGAGTTGTTAGATAAAATACAGGATACCCAGGTAAATTTGAATTTCAGAGAAGCAGCGAATAATTTTTTTAGTTTAAGTATGTTTCATGCAATATTTGGATCATACTTATACTAAAACATTATTCTTTATGTGAATTTCAGATTTATTTGGGTATCCTGTATTTTTATTTGTCAAGTATGGTAGCCCTAGAAGCCAGTCCAGTGACCTGAGAGAGCTGGCACTCCTTTTAAAATGGCAAATGTACACATAATCGGCCACAAGTGAAAATGCATGTGATAGTACTAAATTGGAAACTTTTAAAAAAATGAGCCAGGAAATGGTTTTGTATATAAAGTACTTTTCTTAGTGTTTATTAATGATTTATAAATGTGGGAACTTGTACACAGATCTAATTTATTAATGGAAGAAAATGACTATTTTGTGTATGTTAAACACTTATTTCACCTTTTATGTTTTTTTTTTCTTTCTCATTTCTTAGTGACATTGACCAGCAGTACTTAAACTATCTATTCAGGTAAAATATAATTTAAATTTTCAAAGAATAACTCATATTCTCCTAGAGCTAATGGATTTTTATTTTCCAATAATGTATATATTTTCTATTAATTTTTTTATTGGAGTATAGTTTATTTACGACGTTGTGTTAGTTTCTGCTGTACAGCAAAGTGAGTCAGTTATATCCAGTAATATTTTGATAAGGGAGATCTGAGCCAGTGTGCCTGCCTGCCAGGAAGGCAAGCTAAATAATTGGTGAGATGATCAGAATTGCAGAAACTAAATAGTAGTCCTGCCGTTAGGCCAGGCAAGAAGGGCTTCCATCCAGCCCCACACTTCAGAGAGCCATGCTTCTCCCCAAGGCATATGCAGTCTGTAAGGCTAAGAGCCCACACCCTTCCTTCTAGACTGGGCCTTGGAATTCCCTACCCAAGTGGATTCCAAGGCCTCCCTGGGTCTGTCTTCTTAACTCATTCCGAGACCCAGTGGATGTCCAAAGAAAGACTGTTAGTATGAGGGATGTGCATGGAGGGTGGGCTTGCAGACTGAGGTGTCCACACACACATGTTTGAGGTCCTTGGGTGCAGGATGGAGCCTGGTGTCGGGAGAGAAGAGGGTGCACTGCGAGCCGGGAGCCAGAGGCAGGATGTCCCCACACTAACGTCTTCTGACAAGAAGCTCCAAGGACTCCAAGAATTCTAAATTTTAATCTGGACTTTCAGGTTGCTTTGAAGGTGTATTTGTTCAGGTAGGATGAAGTTTGAGGCTTGATTTATAATATGTAAGTGTATATGGATTTCCATTTGTACCGTTGCCCCAAGCCAAGTAAAGAATAGGGTTGGCTGCTAAATAGAATAGCTGGGGAGTATTCTTGCATTCTGAGAGTGCCACATGGTGCACTGAGGGACCTAATTGAGAAAGTGAGGTCTAGTGCTGTCTAGGACTCAAGTTTGCCTAATGCAACAACATTTAGTCCAGAGGACCAAGGTCGGAGAGGTGCCTCTCAGCCTTTGGCCACATGGATTTCTGCAGGAAGTTGGCTTAAAACGTTCAAGATCTGTGTTCTCTCCCTACAAGTAAAGTTCCTAAATATCTTAGTATTTATGAAAATGCCTTTTTGAAGACAGGATTCAACCCAAACATAGCTGGGGCCTCTTTTGTACTCAGTGGAACAGTCATTAGTTCCACTCTGCCCAGTCCCACCAGCTGCCTTTTCAAGAGATGTTTCTGAAAACGCAGAAGTCCCTTGGTGTTTGAAATGTTTCCATGACATCGGACTCTACTTTAGACGGTTCTTTTTCCCCACAGAGCTTATAGCCAAGGCGAGAAGCAAAGGGTTTTGAGGGTGGAAAAAAACAGCTGCTGTGACCCCCAGCTAGTTTTCCCACCCTTGCCCCTCCCCACCCTCCCCCGTGTGAGGGTTTCACTACCTGGGAACCAGGTGCTCAAGGCTTCCTGCCTCAGCCCGCTGCACACCCCGCCAAAGCCACACTGCTGTTTCCACGTCTTCTTTCAGTACAAGTGATGAAGATGAGCCAGGGTTGAGATTCGATTTCCCACAGGCCCTGGGTATCAGCCTCCAGAGATCTGCATTCACTCAGCTCTGTAGGGCAGCTGTGCCTGTAGGTGCCAGCCCGGAGCTCTGCCTGCTGGTTTGATCTCTCTCTGCTGGTTTGAAAACGTAGGGAGAACCTGCTATGTATCTGGCCCTGCTAAATACTTGAGCTCCAAAGATGAATAAAATGTGGTTCTTGCTCCCCAGGTCATCACAGTGTAGGAATTAGGAGGTTGTAACTCTATATTTACAAAATTCAGACATGGACTAGAGAGCCAACTCTTTTATTTATCTCTTATTTTTAACTCCCTAGTGTTTTCTTTTAGAGTCACCCTTTGGGGTGATTCCGATGATGGCATTTGGGATACCATGTCAGGCCCTGGGAGATGTTTTGGGATGGAAAGGGGCCCCTCACATCCTGCCATAGGAGCAATAACTTCTGCTGCTAAAGTTGAAGCCGAAAGGGGATCCAGCGAGATAGAATAATGGAGAATGTACAGGGTGTGTGTTTTCCAGAGAAAGAAGAGACAGCAAGCAGACGCCCATGAGAAGGACAGGAAATCTCCAGTCTTGTCTGTAGTGTGTGTATTTTTTTACAGCTATAGCTACCTGTAAACCCTTGTCTCACAAACCTACCACTTCCGAATTACCAGAATGTGACTATTCTTATGGCCGTTGTCACAACCCTCCTCTCTTCCTGCCTCTTCCTATGATGCTGCTCCTCTGAAAACCATCAGAGAAACAGAAATGATGCTGGGAGATAACCCAAGAGCAGGGCTGAGGAGCTAACATTGGTTTCCCTGGCTGTCATGTCACCAACTGGAGATTTGTGGCAGTGGTTCCTGATCCTGGTACTTTATAGCTTCCGGGAGCCATAACAAATAAAAACAATGGATGCCCGGACCATACCTTAGCGATTCTAGCCAGGATGTTACACTATTTGGATGTGTATCCAGGGTTGAGAACCAGAGCAGGCCATCCAGCGCTTTAAGAAAACTTTCCTTCTTATATTTGAATTAAAAGTTTCATTCCTAACCTCCAACTAAATCAGCTGTCTGCATGGCATGGGTTTTGATGGAAGAGGGTACGGAAGGTGGGCTTAGGACCGCACAAAGGCACTTGTAGACAGGCGCCGGGAGATGGGACAGGCTTCCAGAGATAAAGATGGGAGACAGCCAAGCACAGGTATGGCCTGCATCATCCCATACAGCATCAACTGCAAATTGGTCCAGGTAGTTTTCAGACACAGGGTGGATGGCATGGGTCATTTTGTGGGCTAGCTTCCTGGAAATTTACCTATTCTTCTGTGTAGTTAATTTTGTGATTTAGCTCACAAATAGATTTAGCTCACATTCAACAGCTAACTTTTAGGCTGCAGCCTGTTTGTAATTTAGACTCTGCTTTGTTTAGCTGACAAATACTCTCTGTAGATTAGGTGAATATGATAATCATTAGTGGCAGGGCTGACCCTTGAAGAGGGGCACGGACCCTCAGAGTCCATCACAGGGGAGATCCAGCCCTCTTGCCAAAACCTGAGGCATTTCAGGAGATTCTCACTCTCTCCCTGACAAGTTGGATTTAGGCAGAATGAGACCATTCAGTGCAGATAGTTTGCTTTTAGGCAAATCTCACTATTTCCAAGTAGAATGGGTGAAAATGGATGTTGTTTTCTCAGTGCTGGGGAAGCTTTCTTCACGAGTCTGCTGTTTCTTTTTCAGTGTGGTGCTCCTGGCATTTGCATCTCACCCCACAGGTAAACATCATTTTGTTTGTTTGTGTATCTTACATTGCCCATTCAACACAGTGCTCTGACTCCGGTTATATCTCTGAGGGAAATTTTGTAAGAGAATGTAGCTGCCTTCCAGGGTGTCAAACTTAGGAATGGCCCACATACTTGAAACTGTTCTTAGTATCCCGTTATGGATTTATTGCCCATGAATTGAACCTTTTTCCATCTTTTATTGTTGATGTTTTCATCTGGTGTAATCTCAGATGTACAGGCAGGTTTATTATCTGCCAAATAAACTAGTGCTTTCTTTGTCCTTTTCTAAAATTCTCCCTTCAAGCATCCAGAATTGCTCTTCAATCCTAGGGCTAAAGATTTGGTGGAAAAGTTCAAATTGTGCCTATTTCTCAGTGACGTCCTTTTATACATTTTTATCATATATTGTCATCCAGTTTTCATAATTCCAGATTAAAGAAGTCATTTTAAAACTTACCTTTGCCCATATATACACTGATATGTATAAAATAGATAACTAATAAGAACCTGCTGTATAAAAAAGAAATAAATAGAATTAAATAAAAAAAACAAAACAAAAAACTTACCTTTAGCCTGTTGCTGCCTCAATTACCCTAGAGTTGTTTTCCAAGTTCAGGAATTTTCCGTAGTACTCTATTTCATTGTGTTTTTTTACTTTGAAAGGTTTTGAAGTTGATGCAAAGATAAAGCAAAAATATCTGTGTGCAGCATGGCTGGAAATACACATTTTACTGGTCACACTCCTTAAACTAATGTTTATTGACCTCTGCTATGCATGAGGCATTACCCAAGCCCTCAGGGTCTCAGTCTCTTATCCGGAAATTAAGAAAGGTGGACTGGATTATTTCTGAAGCCCCTTCTAGCTCCCTCCTGTGCCGCAAACAGCAACCCCTTTCTGTTTGTGTTTTTAGCTGCTTCAGACCGTTTGAACTAATATCCTCAGAGAACTGCTGATGGTGACTCGGGTCATGTCTCTAGATTGGACATGACCTATCCGAACTGCTGTCTCATTAGCATAACTTGAATTATTTTTTTCTCCATGAGTGCTTCTACGCTTGCGCGTACTGAAGCACATCCACTGTTTTCTGCCCACTCCCATAGCCTGAAAACCTATCCTTTGTAAAATTACAAGTCATACGAAACCCTGGTGTTGACCCTAGACACCTACCTGTACCGCTGAGTGTCCGCCTCCAAATCCTGCCTCTCAGCATTCCTTCGTGCAGCCAGAGGGTTGCCACCCAACAGATATTTCAGAGCCTACTAAGTGTCTTCTGCCTTTCAAATAGGTTTTTAATCAAAGACCTTTGGAGAGTTATGCTTGCTGGTTCTTCTTGGTTTACATGTTCATTTTCTCCCTGAGTGATTTCTAGTGGATTCGGGTGAATGATATTCACTTAAAGAAGCCACTCTGCCTTTCACTAAGAGGTTATGCTAGTTCATTTGCTACACTCACGTGTATCAGAACTGGAAGGAACCTTAGTGATTATCCAAGGTGCCACCACATTTTGAAAATGAGGAAATTGAAACCCAGAGGAGTTAAGTGATGTGACCAAGATGAGGAAGTGAGTAGCAGAGGGAGACTGGAGTTTAGCTAAAGCTTCCCTGCGAGGGGATGCCCCACAGCCGTAGGGGTCAGGAGTCCTGTGGGCCTCAGTAGCCATCGTAGCAGGGCTCAGGCAAAGGCCCCAGGGAAGGTAGGTGTGCGGCTACCTACGAACTGGCGGCAGCCTTCCAGAAGAAGCCGGAGATGTTCATCTATACCAACACCAAGTTGGGTATCTAATCCATGAACATCCCAGGGAAACACTGTGGAACCACACCTACTTTTGCGTGAATTAAGTAACAAATACAATTGTGGTCTTTATAAACAGTGCGGTTTGTTTATACTGAAGTTGTGTAATGCACAACCATGTGCAGCTCTAAGCAGTGGCCCATTGTTTCAAAAAGCACACAGGTTTGCTCAAGTAGGTAATTAAGGCAGATGGATATGAAGGCAGGGATTTGGTGTGTGAGATTATGGAAGCTGAGAATCTAGAAGACCCCTTGGGGATCAGTTTTTCCCAGCTTTATAAAGCCAGGTCAGTTGCCCTAAACCCTTTGATGCGTCCTGGTGATGTCTTCTCATAGGAGCATAAGGTTGATTACAAAATTTAAGCAAATGAAACAGCTGAGGAAAATCTCTTTGCTCCGGAAGTATTCGAGGACTGCTCTGATTGGGCAGCTTCAATTCCTGCCAATTTGTTAGCTTTCTCATTGGACCCGTGGGTGGTCCAGCCCATTTTTAAGATAGAACAGCACTTCGTTCTTTCCCACTTGCTTATTATACTTTCCATCTGGAATGTCCATTTCAAGGCCTGGGTGTGGGTCAGGGAGAGCAGCTTCCTGATTCTCCCACATCTGCACCAATTAAGACACAGCAAGAGTCAGGACCCATGGGTACAGCCTTTTTTTTTTAAAGGCTCTTAATTTCTGATGTTTTAAAACAGGGCTTTTTGGTTTCTTCTTACCTCTTCTTTTTCTTACTTGTATCTTCATTATTTAGTAGTACTTTCAAAACATTTTAAAATTGAGATATGATTTACACATAGGAAATGCACATATCTTAAATGTGCAGCTTGATCAATTTTGACAAATGTATATGCCCATGTAACTCACACCTCTATCAAGATATAGAAAACTTCCGTCACTCCAGAAAGTTTCCTCACGTCCCTTCTCAGTCACTCCCTCTCACCGACCACCAGAAGCCCCTATTGATCTGATTTCTGTTACCATACATAAGTTCTGTCTATTCTAGGGCCTCATATAAATGGAAACACACAGGAAGTATTCTTTTGTGTCTAGCTCTTTCATTCAGCATAGCATTTAGAGATTCATCCAGGTTGTTGGGTGTCTCACTAGTCTTTACTCTTTTATTGCTGACTAGTGTGCCAGTGTATGAACCTTTTGTTTATCCATTCACCTGTTGATGCTCACCTGGGATGTTTCCAGTTTTGGGCTGTTATGAATAAAGCTGCCATCAAGATTCTCATACAGTGCTTTTGGTGGACTTATGTTTTAATGTCTCTTGGATAAATAGGAGTAGAATTTCTGGGTCTTACAGTAGATATATGTTTAACTTTTAAAGAAAGTGCCAGTTTTCTAAAGCATTTGTACCATTTTACCCTCCCACCCAACAATGCGTTAGAGTTCCGGTTTCTCCAGGTCTTCACCAACATTTGGTGTTGTCTGTCTTACGTTAGCTATTCTACTAGGTGGGTGATGGTCTCTCAGTAGTGCTCTTGACTGAGCCGCCCTTCTCACTCACTCCCGAGTGATTAGAAAGATAGGCTTTCTTGCGATGCAGATGGTGTGGCTTTGGGTCACCACCTTTGGGGTGCGCTGGGATGTAGTGGTAGGAAGGGACCAGATAGATAGTTCTCCATGTCCTAGGTGCAGACCCTGACACTTTTCCTATTTCAGGCACTGGGTTTGCTTCTTGATGGGTGGGATCTAGTTCTCCTTCTAATCTTTCAAAGTCACAGTTCATGCAGAAGCTCCAAGGATCTTAGAAACTTGCACCCCCAGGACTGCTTTAAGTAATAGTAGAGAAAACAAATTCTTCCTCTGTTTGAAAGTTTGCATTTCATCTTTGTATGGGGTCCCTCTGCTGTGGCATTTTCAAGAGAGAAAATTTCAAGGAACCAGAAGGGCAGGAAGACTTTCGGGAATCTGACCAGAAATGACCTTGTTATGTGGTGTGTCTACTGCTCGTGTTGAGATAAAGCAAGCAGTACGAGCTACATCCTGGAGCTGACCTTCCACTTTCCCACTCATTCTGAGGACTAAAATGTGGTGGGTGAGAGGAAACTTTCTTGATGTTCAAGTATCCATTATTCTTGATGTGGTAAAATTGTGCCACAGTTTTCACCGTGGCGATTTCATGCTCCATTATCTTCAGAGAGATGGGACTGACTCCCTCACTCAGAGAGTCAGCAGAATTTTAACTGTGGAGCACAGGCATGAAGGCTTAACTCCGACTTCTGTGCATAAGCTGCATGTGGATGCCACAAAGCATGTGTACAGAGCTTGAACCACTTACTTTGTGCTTAAAGTGTGCGTTCTGCACTAGGTGGTGCAGAAGTGTTGTCTTTTGAGCACCTTTACACAGTTTTTAGTTCCTGGGGCTAGTTCTCATGTGCTTGGGGCCAGCTAGCCACGTACTGCAACATTTTCGGGGCTATTTTTGTAGCACAGTCATTAACCTTTGCTGTTTAGAGGTTGGTGTGCACCCTCTCTGTTGAAATAAAAGATGAGGCCGGCTGAAGGCATCAAGGGGGTAGTACTGGGGGTCAATTTGAGATTGAGGACCAGCAGAGCCAAGTGGAAAGGGTTCGGAACATTCTCTCCAGGGAAAGCAAGAGGGGTTGAAGTCTTCCAGATACTCTTGGCTCAGGGGTGCTTGTTATTTGTCAGAGATGGTCCTAACACAGTGGATACAAGTGCTGAGTATAATAGAATCCTTGCTCGCAAGGACTCGATGGCTCTAGAAGGAGAGACAGTCATGGAGTCAACTACGTGAGAAATGTGTGGAGGTTTTAGAAATGGCTCAAAGAGAAGAGCGAGCTCTTCTCTCTCTTGCTCTCAATAATTGACAGGATCAATTTTTAGGATTTGAGGGAGGATTATTATGCAACTGGTCAGTTCCCTAGGATGGTGATTTTTTTTTCTTTATCTTCCTTCCTCCCAGTCTACCTCTGCCCACTCCCCTGCCCTTCAGACCCCTCCGTAGCCTGGGCCGCACCGGGAGTCCAGGTCACCTCCCCTGAATCCTGAGGTCCTGCGTTTAATTTATTCTTCTCTGCTCAGTCCTCCTGATCACGCTGACTGCGCTGCAGTTTCTCTCATGCTGAGAGGGAGGTTGGGAAAAAGCCAAGAACCAAGAGCGGCCAAAGAGACAGAGCAAATCCTCCACGAACATGCCTTCACCCACCTTACAGGGGGCTGGGGCCGCCTGCTAGGATCTGGGTGCTCAGGGTTTCCTCGGCTGTCACTTCTGTGCGAAAAGGGGCTACAGGAGCAGTGGAGCTCCTCATGCACTGGATGTCTGGGCCTGATGTCAGTTACAAAGTCCCTCCACCAGTATAGGTCCCTAGTAAATGACAGGGGTGTCCAGTGGAGCCGTAGCAGAAAGAGAACAAAAACTCTTAGCCTTCTGTTGGGCTGCACGAAAATCAGATCCTAGGGGACCTCTCCTTTTAGTTAAATACACATACATATGTACAAACCAAATCAAACAAAATAACAATAGTTATGGTAGAAAAAAGCAACCGTCCAGAAAAGTGGAATTCAGACCTTTCCTTCCCAGTCGATGGTTGAATCATTTGAGATCATTTAGGTACAAGGAAGTGTAGCGATGCGTTGTGTCTTTTGTTCTGAAACTCTTGATTAGTAAGTGTAGTGATGAAGGATGTTCCACTGCCCCTAACGTGCTGTGAGTACTCAGGAAAATCAACCTTTCTTGCTCTAGTCCATCCACAACTGAGAGACAGACCGAGGCCCAGGGGTCTGGAAGGTCTGGCGCCTCCAGAATCTCAGAAATTCCAGATTTGGAAGGATTAGGCTATCTGCTGTGGAAATGCTTAATTCCTTTTCTCTGGACATTTTTGGAAGGCTTTCTGCTTTTTTAATCTCCTGACTTCTTGTTTGTGACCAAGTTCAAATTCCAGAGAGGGAAGCGGCCAATATGTTTGATTATTTCCTCTTGCACCAAGTGGAACTAAAAGAATGAACTTACTTCACTAGAAATAAATGTACCCTTTGGACCTTGAACTAAAATGAGTATGCACGGGCGGTTGGCCCCTTCTCTGTTTGTGCGGTAATTAAACAGAAAGATGAGAGAAGATGTCAGAGGCATGCGTTCATGATCCTTTTTTAGATATAAGGCAGAAAAGAATAGAAGAATCTTAAAAAAAGATTCTTTTTGTCCTATGCTCTGGGCCAGGGATGGCTGCCAGGTGAAGAGGAAAGATCTTAGGACTTGAAGTCACCGGGGTCCACATTCTGGCTCAACAGTTAGAGAGCTGTGCAAACGTAAACAAATCACTTCTCTGAGCTGCAGTTAAAATGGGGATAACAAAGCTTCACAGAGTTGTTACAAGGATTGAAACAGACAATGTTCGGGAAGCTTTTCACACAGGGCCCTGCACAGGGCAGGCTTTCACTGAATGGTGTTATTATCATACTATTATTATAATAAGACAATGCCAATGACACAGAAACCCTCGAATGCCGGAGTGAATTCACTGCTGGGCAGCTCAGCGCTCAGAGGGCTGATGTCGTTAAGATCCTTGCCTTGTGTTTCCGGGCAGCCGGGGGCAGGGGGCTTTCAGGCTGTGTGTCTCACTCTTGCTGTTTCCCAGGTGACCTCCTCAGCGTCCTGGACTTTCCGTTCCTGTATTTCTACAGATTCCATGGCAGCTGCTGTGCCAGGTAATCTTAACTCGGAAAACCCCTCGCACTGTGGATTTGTATGTTTCTGTACTACCAGCTGTGTCGTTGTGAAGCCCAGGGTCACTGTCTGTTATCTGAATAAGCGTCAGAAGAAAGTGGTGTCTGGTGCAGGTGAGAAAGTTGCCCCGTCGGCCATCAGAGGGTTGTTAGGAACATTCTCAGGTGCTCAGGGCTGGCCCGGGACCTGCGAGGACCCCTGTCCTGAAGAATTTTCTCGGCCAGGGCAGTGGTTTTCAGACTTGCAGAACAGAGAGAATTCTCCCACTTTTTTTTCCCCCCCCCACAAGCAATTCTTAAACAGAACTTCAGTATATAAAAATGATGACACTGACTCAGTTCAAGGGAAGATTTGGGTACAGAATCACACCCTGTCAGCATCTACCTTGATTTCTCTCTTGTTCCTAAAGGGCAGCCTCCAAAAAATTTTGACCGAACCCTAAGACTCTGAGAGACAGATTTTGAAACCAATGACTAGGAATTGTCTAGACCACAAGGTGATCGTTAATATTTGGCCTTGGGAGGTATCAGAGATGTGGACCAATTAGATGGATACATTTAGATACAAAGAGGTCCGTCCCCATCCTACCCCCGCCCCTTTCCTGCCATGACCCCCACTTCGCTTGACTATATTGTGCTGAGGAATGGAAAGGCTTCTGTGGACAGTCTCAAAGCATGGATTCTGATGTGGTCGAAAGACCACACTTGGGTTGAATTTCAGCCTTGCTGTTTGCTAATTTGTGTCTTTGGGCAAGTTATCTTACTTCCCCCAAACCTTAGTTTAATTTTCTCATCTGTAAAATGGAAAGATAATACTAATACAGGGTGATTGTGTGTGTTAAATAAGGTACACAAAGCTCAAAGCATCTTGCCCGGCTCAGCAAATGATGGGCATTATTATTATCTGTAGATAAAATGTCAACAGACCAGAAGCAATTGCTACATAAAAGCCAGACCACCTATTTCCACCCAAAAGAGAGTGTATCTTGTGAAGCAGTGATTCTTCACAGAGAGTTAAAGGGCTGATATGCAGCTAGGTGCTGTTTCTGATGGGGGTGTGTTAGGGCAGAAAAAATCAGTATTATGCCGTTTGCATCTGCATTTGAGCCTCAGAATGATTTTTTTTTTTCTTATCATTCTCAGAAAAGTTTCAGGAAAACACTGACAGTATTTGTCTTCTCAGTTCCTATCCATTTGGTCAGGCCTTGTCACTTGCCCATTAGCTAGGATTGTGTGGCAGGAGTGTCAGTGCCACCCTGGTGCCTGCAGACTTGCTTCCCTTTGGGCCTGCTTCTTCGGCCACATGGGTGGCCAGGGTGCCAAGGGGGCCGCCAGGTTTGGTCATTTGGAGCAGAGCATCACAGTTCATAGCCCGTTGGTGATGGCTTTGTGGGGTGACCTGTTTTTTTTTTTTCTTGGCCATGCTGTGTGGCACGCAGGATCTTAGTTCCCCGACCAGGGATCGAACTTGTGCCTCCTGCAGTGGAAGTGCAGAGTCTTAACCACTGGACTGGCAGGGAAGTCCCTGTAGGGTGACCTTCTGCCTCCATTTCTGCCCCTTTTAATCTGCAAGTTTTTCTAATCCAACATGAAAACTCAGGTGTTTCTTTTTTTAATTTGAAAGATTTGGAAATCTTTATCTGAATTGGTTTAACTCTCTATTACATTCTACCTCTGGCTTACCCTCTTTTAAGAACGTGGCACTTTTCCCCACATCATCTCGTGACTCCCCCATAACCGTATCTCACACTAAGAGCTGTCACCTTCAGAGGTCCTGGGGGAGCTCAGGAGGGGTCGTGGAGGCCTGAGGGGTCAGTGGTAGCCGTGGCCTGGAGACCCCATGAATAGGGAGCCCTAGGCTCCTTCACTCCTGGGGTCTGCCCAGTGCTCTTAAGACCTGCCTCCACAGCAAGGGGTTGACAAGCTGGAAGTGGAAGACACAGATGAGGGAGATGAGGGAGGGACCCATGAGGCATTTAGAAATGATTCACCGACATGCAAGTCAGGTGATGAGAAAGAGTCATGGATGCTTTCAGGAGCGTGTTGGTCACAAGCCAGGGGTCGCTCAGTCCTAGCAGAGTCTGTGCGGAGGGCAAGGGTCAGTGTGGAACTGTGCCCTCCTCTGGCCAGGGATGGAGAGGACAGAAGAAGCCCAAAGGGGACCGAGGTATGGGGGATGGGACAGGCACCTGTTGGGGATGCAAGGGGTGGACACCACCAAGAGGAGCCCTGGAGGGCCGGCTGGCCCACTGTCCTCTACCAGCCTCGCGACCTTGGGCACCCGGAGCATCTCACTCCATCTCTCTGGCTGAGAGCACATTTCCACGTTGAGGTCTGCAGGGCCGTGGAGAGCTTCGGAAG